CCCCAAAACCCCAAAACCCCAAAACCCCAAAACCCCGTGCGATGTAATAATTATTGAATAAAATCAGTAAAATGAACAATCCTAACAATTCATACAAAGATCAAAATTTTACTTGTGATTTTGAAGGTTTCGACCTCACTAAGAACAACCTTGATGATGTAGAAGAGGATTTAGAGGAATTCAATAGCTCTTTTGAAGAAATTAAGGGCAACCGAGGTCATCCAAGGATAAATGGAGGCACTTTTGACTATTGCCCACCTTCCCAGAAACCCTACAACAATCCTTGACGAAAAGAAATAGAGGATATTATCAGAAATTGCTAACGAAGCATTAGTTAATATAGACGATGAGACTACCCCCTTATTAGCAGGGAGGAAAGATGACTTTGAAGGCATGAATGGATATTCAAATTCTAATTCGAGTATCAGTTTTTACCCAGCAGCTGCTACCTCCACCTATCCAAAATGCAAGTTCACCAATAACCATGGATTTATTGATGAGTCCAGCTCATTAACTCTTGGTACAAAAGCTAAGCTGCCTTCTGAAGCTCTTAATAACTTTGCAAGGTATCAACAAAAGATTGGAGCTGAGAAAAGATTGATAGATAAAGTATGCCAGGACAAGGACCTCACAGACCTCATCCTCAATCTCCACAAGTTTAAGATACTCTATCGTAAGAGGATCACTGAAGAGACCCTTAGCAAGTCCAAACAGAAGCATGAGAAATACCAAAACTTAATTCCAAAACAAGCCTCTCCAACTGCGAATGATCCTGAGAAGGCCAATCTTCTTGAGAAGCTTAGCGCTCTGAACAAGGAAAACCGATTTAACAAGAAGAAAGTTAAGGACTTGGAGAGAAAGATCTGTATTATATAGAGTCTCTACAAACCTCTGCAATGAAAAACCTCGAGATGTACCGCAAGGACAACGATAAATTAAAACAACAACTGGAAGATGTCAAGAAAGGATTTGACCAAAGTATGAAGAATTTCTAATTTATAGGTGAAGAGACTGACAGTGAAGAACCCAAGAAGAAAAAGAAGAAGAAGAGGAATAGGAACAAGAAGAACAAGAATTCCCATAAAAGTTCTCTGGGACAGCAAGAGGGACAAACAGTGAACCAGGAGGCAGAAGAAAACAAGTCTGATGCCAAGACGTCTACTGATGTTGCCAATGGGCGGGCAGAGAGCCCAAAGTCTCTCATAAGTGGGGATAATTGTTCAAACGAGAACCTTGAGAGACAGCCAGGGTTTTCAAAACAAAAGGAGTTAATTATGAAAAAGAGCTCTACTGAAAATGAAGATTTTGCATGAAGTCCTCAAATGAGCAAGGGGCCAAAGAGTAACCAAGCACAGAATAGCTTGAAGTAAGAAGTAATCTTTAATGATGTGTTTCCTATTCAAAAATGCACTAAATGTTTTGGCTCTAATTAATATCATAGATCAATAGAGAAAGACGCTCAGATAGGCTACAACAAAAAAGAGAATAAGAAAGAAAGTGCTCAGAAAGGTGGCAAAGACTCAAAAGAAAGCAAAGCTTGTGAAAGTGAGTCTACTGAAGAGGATTCATTAGCAGGCCTAATGTTAGATAAAGATCGGAGTAACAGCGATGAGAAATTAGATATGAGAGGAAAGACAAAGAACACCACAGAAGTCAGTAATTCTTCAAAAACTCGGGAGGACTTAGACCGTTCCAAGAAGAAGAAGGGGAAAAAGAGTGAGGCTGATAAGGAGTATGAGGAAATCTATAATTTCCTGCAAGAGCAGTACGAGAGGATATTTGAATCAGACCCGGATTGTTTAGAACTTTAACTAAACTTTTAAAATCCTAATTATTAATTCTAATTCTAATTTTTTATCAAATTAATACTCAACCCTGAATGGCTTTATGGGGTTTTGGGGTTTTGGGGTTTTGGGGTTTTGGGG